CTTGAAATAATTTTTTAATATGTTTTCTGTCATATAAAAAACAAACAACATCTCACTTTTTATTGAATTGTCTTTCAAATAATAAACAAATTCTTTTAAAAATATATTATGTGCATGTGCATGGGCTGAAATTTGTACAAAAATCGGCTCACACACATGTGCATGTGCTTAAAAACAAACAGCACACACTTTTCTGTGAGCAGAGTTTGTTTTCAACTTATGCACACACATGTGTATGAGCAGTGAGTACAAGTTGAATGTGTTTCTGGCGTGTGTGTGAGCAGAGCATGTGTGTGCAAATACGAACCCTGTGCAAAACTAATAATTAAAAAGTGAGTCTATGCAAAGAACGTTAATCTATAGATGTTAAAACGACGCGAACTCCACACATTGTGCATGCTTACAAGCGCATGTATTGATGCGCCTTGCTTACAATTGAAAAAAGAATCAAATTTTTTGCAGAAATGCCTCACAGCTGACATCACCTGATTTTATTTGCTATAGGGTTACACACAATATCTATTAAAACAACTTTAAGCAGACTCTGGTAAAAACAGCAAAAAAGTTATATTAAGTGTAAGAGTTATTGACCAAAACGCTTTAAGATACTAACGGGTGATTTTTTTGAGGTTAGGATTTTCATGCATTAGTATTTGACAGATCACGTGGGATTTCAGACATGGTGTCAAAGAGAAAGATGCTCAGTATGCTTTGACATTTCATCATGAATAGACTTACTAACGAGCAACGCTTGCAAATCATTGAATTTTATTACCTAGAAAAGTTGGCAGAAAATCCGCTTTTTTATCGACAAATTTTGTTCAGCGATGAGGCTCATTTCTGGTTGAATGGCTTCGTAAATAAGCAAAATTGCCGCATTTGGAGTGAAGAGCAACCAGAAGCCGTTCAAGAACTGCCCATGCATCCCGAAAAATGCACTGTTTGGTGTGGTTTGTACGCTGGTGGAATCATTGGACCGTATTTTTTCAAAGATGCTGTTGGACGCAACGTTACGGTGAATGGCGATCGCTATCGTTCGATGCTAACAAACTTTTTGTTGCCAAAAATGGAAGAACTGAACTTGGTTGACATGTGGTTTCAACAAGATGGCGCTACATGCCACACAGCTCGCGATTCTATGGCCATTTTGAGGGAAAACTTCGGAGAACAATTCATCTCAAGAAATGGACCGGTAAGTTGGCCACCAAGATCATGCGATTTGACACCTTTAGACTATTTTTTGTGGGGCTACGTCAAGTCTAAAGTCTACAGAAATAAGCCAGCAACTATTCCAGCTTTGGAAGACAACATTTCCGAAGAAATTCGGGCTATTCCGGCCGAAATGCTCGAAAAAGTTGCCCAAAATTGGACTTTCCGAATGGACCACCTAAGACGCAGCCGCGGTCAACATTTAAATGAAATTATCTTCAAAAAGTAAATGTCATGGACCAATCTAACGTTTCAAATAAAGAACCGATGAGATTTTGCAAATTTTATGCGTTTTTTTTAAAAAAAAAGGTATCAAGCTCTTAAAAAATCACCCGTTAAAAGGTCATACATATGCAGGAATTCCTTTAAAACAATGCATATTTTGCCAATTTTTTACTTTATTTTAATGACTATTGCCTTTTTTATATCACTTTAAACACCCTGTTGAACATTTTTTTTTGACAGGTACTTTCCAGGTAGCTTCCAGGCAGTTTCCAGGTAGAAGAAGAACCAGAGAACGTATATAAATGAGAAGGCGCATTTCCAGTGGACCGTTTTTGTGGTGCAGTCGGCCAAATATACCACTCGTCGACAAAGTGCACCGCTCGACCGACGGTGTCGGTAGAGAAGTGTCGGCTGCCACCATACCAAAAATTTTTCCGTGCCACCACACTTTGAGCAAATTTACCATAGTTCAAAGCAAAATGAAAAAATAAGAACGAAAAAGGAAAGAGGAACAGAAATAGAATAAGCACTGGGCAGAGGGGATGCTTGCGGAGGCAGGCGCGTGCTTGTGTCGGATCAAAACAAACTGTAAAATAAAAATGGTAGTCGGAACGACAAGTGTACAAAAGAAGCGGGGAACGGGGAAAGGAGCGGGCTTTTGTACATTTGCTTGTTTGCCGAAAATATGATATTTGCGTGAAATCGATTTGCTGGTTGCAAATTCATTTTTGCAAACATGTATGAATTTTTCTGTTTCAGCTATGTTGATGAGATTTTCTAAGTCAATTTTTTCGACTTTTTTCCGCAATTATCTAAAGTCATGTAAAGTGGAACTTTTTCAATAAAACTATTTCATTACAATTTAATGAAACATATGTATGTATGTATGTATATATTTACTTATGCACATACACATATATAATTATTTCTGCAATCAAATTTTCTATTCATGCAAAAAGCCAAACGCATAAATATGTACGTATGTACACATTCATTTGTAAATATGTAGATATGTAATGTATGTATGTAACATATATATGTACATACAAATGTGCGATTGGTCGGCTTTCGTCTTCCCCTCGCCGCTCCCATCCACACACAAATTATTCAATTTCTGGGAATCGACACCAGATTGGCACGTGCGCGAAAATATTAACCCTCCGTTTGCCAAATATTTAGTTTTTCGCATAAGTTTGCATTTAATAAAGCAATACTCGTACATTTTGTATGGAGAATAATATTAATTAATTTAAAATTCTGCATGTAACCATGTTCTCGACGATATATGTAACTTTCATAAAGATTAACCATAAAAATTGTGCTTCATTAACAGTTGCAACCAGCTGAAACCAAAAAAACTATGTCCGCTAAATGGGTTAAAGACCAACTGGAATTGACATTTTTTACACGCATACATGCATACACTCATATACACATGTACAGTGGAGTAGCACTAGGTTGAACAATGCATTGCTTGTACTTTGATGTGTTTGAATCTTTTATGGTACTGAAGATTTGCTTAGGGATGAAAAATATTAAAAATCGTTCGTGCATATATGTAAATATATTTTTATAAACGCTTGGAAGTATAGAAATTTTTAATATTAAAAAATAAATAAAATATTTTTTTTGTATATATATAAATTTTGTTCAAGGCACATTGACCCACCTGTACAAAATTTGTGGCGCGGCATGGACAAAAATTTTACAATTTCGGACCGAAAAATATGAAAACGAGCCAAGTTGCCACGTTACATCTGTGAACTTCCGATAAAACCACATATGTTTGTGATTTTACAAGTTTTGATTTTATTAAAAAAAAATTAATGTATTTTGCTGCAGAAAACATACACTTTTATTTAATGTTTATTAAAATGACACTTTAGAATGTTTAGAGTTAATGATTGAAATATTGGTATGGAACAGAGAAATAGAGTGTTTTGTCAAAAACTACCAAAAATTACCAAGATTCGAGATAACTTATTTTACTGGATATAGAGAAATAATTGCCAATTTTCACTTGGCTGGCCGAGATTTCTTCATTTTAAGATTTTAGAATTTTTGTGTCGGATTGACAAAGTTGCGCTTGTTGGTGAAGAATTTGCGGGGAGATGTGCTGCGGTTGTTTTTATGAATGAATTTACTTGGCCTTGAGAAATATGCAAATGCGTTTATGAATGAAATAGTTATTGTTGTATTTGAGTATACGTGTAATTATGTGCATATATATGTATGTATGCTGCCGTGATTTGTACATATGTACATTTATATGCATGTTCGTAGTTTTTTTGGCAGTAATATGCATATACATATATATGCATGCAAAAACGTTATCAATTAATGGAGCATGTACATACGTATGCGTAGAAAATGCATTTTCATTTGACTCCAAAACTATTTGGGCATTTGGGAATTTCCTGTTGCTAAAAAATTTCCTGTTGCTAAAAAATTGATGTACAAATAAAAGCGTTGTAAAAATATACTTACTTATGTAATATACATACAATTATGTTGACAAATTTAAGTTATTTTAGGTAATATTTTTATTTTATTTTTTAATATAAGTTCTTAAACTATGTACATACAGATAAATTCAGATTTTAAAAATTTAAAAGAAAATAAGAAATATAACAAAAATAAATCCTGAAATGAAACAAATTAAAATTGTTTTTCTACAACTTTAGGTTGGACACGAATTACGAATATGCCTTCTCATATGAAGACAAATTCTCACACGATACGCGTTTGTACATATTTATGTATATACATATGTATCACGAAACTTATAAAGGCCAGCCTATTGCGCATGTACCTATACATAGATGAAATTTCATGAAATGCTCCAATATATAGGTATATGTATGTACGTATATATATATGTGGATAGATATATGTATGTACGTATGGATTGTGGAAAATATTCCCTCAGAAAATCTTATTTCCCTCAGAAAATCTTATCAACTTAGCTGAAATAGAAAAATGCATACATGTTTTGCTGAAACAGAAAAATTCATACATGTTTGCAAAAATGAATTTGCAACCAGCAAATCGATTTCACGCAAATATCATATTTTCGGAAAACAAGCAAATGTACAAAAGCCCGCTCCTTTCCCCGTTTCCCCGCTTCTTTTGTACACTTGTCGTTCCGACTACCAATTTTATTTTACAGTTTGTTTTGATCCGACACAAGCACGCGCCTGCCTCCGCAAGCATCCCCTCTGCCCAGTGCTTATTCTATTTCTGTTCCTCTTTCCTTTTTCGTTCTTATTTTTTCATTTTGCTTTGAACTGCTCGAAGTGTGGTGGGACGGAAAAATTTTTGGTATGGTGGCAGCCGACACTTCTCTACCGACACCGTCGGTCGAGTGGTGCACTCGTCGAGGTGTGGTGTATTTGGCCGACTGCACCCCAAAATTTCTGGCAGAAATTAGTTCACAGAGAAAATGCGCCTTCTCAGTTATAAACGTTCTCTGGAAGAACATTTGTCACTTGTATCAAAGGACATTTACATTTACATTTGCGTTCTTTGCATTTACGTTCTTTGGACAATACAACTGTTTTAACAGGAAAATTATATGGCAGCACTGGAAAACTTCGCGATAACCATCTGGGAGCCACTCACATCGCTGTTTGTCATTATCACAAAAAATTTAAATAAAGTAAAATGAAGAAAGTTTTGGTAACAGGTGGGACAGGACTAGTGGGTAATGCCATCAAGACCGTAATCAACGGAGAATCTTCCCAGGATGAATGGATTTTTGTTGGTTCCAAAGATGCTGACTTGACGTAAGTAAATGAAATCAAAGGTGCAATCCACCAACAGTGAACTTGAATGCTCTAACCAAGGCACATTAAACAGGTAGTATCAGTAGAGCAAAAACAACATTTGCGTGTATTTTGTTGTTGCTTCTGGTATCGAAAGTGTCAAAAACTGTTCTGAATTTTTGCTTCTAAATCAAAGCGTGCCATGTGAAATACAAAAAATTATAAAAAATAAAAAATTGAAATTGGAAAAAATAAAAATTGATGCAACTTTCTTTCCTAGTAAATTTGTTTGCTTCTCGAAGCATTGATCCATCCTTTGCAAGGCCCAGTAATCAGCGGTCGTGCTGCCGAGTTCCAAAAGCTGCTATTCAATCGCTTGTTTTGTATGGAAAAAGGTTTCACAAGCAAATGGATTTTAACAATTCAGAATTTTTGTGAGAAAAAATTAAAAATATTTGACATTTTCGAGTCCAAATAATTTGAAAATAAATCAAATCAGCTGCTCTACTGATACTACCTGTTCAATGTACCTTGGCTCTAACCCATTTTAGGGACACCAACTCCACCAGGGCCTTATTTGACCGAATAAAGCCAACCCATGTCGTTCATTTAGCAGCGATGGTGGGCGGCCTCTTTCATAACATGAACAATAACTTGGATTTTCTGGTAATTATGAATAAACAAATACTATCTTTTCGAACCGCTTGTGAATGACGAATTTTTATAATTTAGCGGAAAAATATGCAAATAAATGACAACGTACTACAAACGGCATACGAGCACGGATGCATTAAAGTAATTTCTTGTCTCTCCACATGCATTTTTCCAGACAAGACTAGCTACCCGATTGACGAGATTATGCTTCACGATGGTGCGCCTCATCCTTCCAACTATGGGTATTCATATGCTAAGAGACTTATTGATGTGCTAAATCATGCGTATCACGACAAACATGGTTGTCTTTTTACGTCTATAATTCCTTGCAATATCTTCGGTCCTCATGATAACTATAGACCTGAGGTCAGCCATGTCATCCCAGGCATGATTAATCGTATGTATCAACTGATATATGAAGAAAAAAGTCTGCCAGATAACGAAAAAGTGTTTGTGGTTTACGGAAGCGGGAAACCACTGCGTCAATTCATTTATTCCTTGGACCTAGCTAAGTTAATTATGTGGGTTTTGGATAATTACGACAGCGTTGACCCACTAATTCTAAGTGTAGACGAAGAAAATGAAGTCACTATTTTTGAAGCTGCCAAAGCCGTTGCGAAAGCTTTTGACTTTAAGGTACATAATTGCTACGATATAGCCAAGAATACCCTTGATATAATTATTTATTTTAACTTCTAGGGGAAACTAATTTGTGATACGAGTAAAGCCGATGGTCAATATAAGAAAACGGCCTCAAACAAAAAGTTGCGCAGTCTGTTACCAAACTTCCAATTCAGTGCTTTTGAAGATGCCATTGATGCCTCTGTAAAATGGTATATTAAAAATGTAGACAATGCGAGAAAGTGATTTTGATGCATGCGTGTAATCTGGGAAGTTTATTTTTAATCTCATTTTGGAGAATGATGAATTTCGATGATAAGTATGGCAAAAGAAGACAATATCTTGATTACATTGCATTTTATTCCACCTTTTATCCAACTACACGAAAATGATGCTTATTATTTTGATTCACTTGAATTGGTACAGGTATGCGTAGCATCCTTATGTACATATATATGAGAGGTATTAAAATTATACTTAAAACCTTTTTAAGAATTTAAAGGATAATTAGAACTATAAGAGGGCAAGAATGGGCGAACCAGCGCACTTTCAACTGAAAAACAAAAATGTATAAATGGAAGTTTCACGGATCCAGAACTTTGCAGGCGATCTGTGGGGAAAAAACTGAAGAAAATGCAAATGTTTTCGACAACTGAAGCCGGCTCATAGAATTGCATGCAAAAAGCATGATAAGGATCCAGAATACAAAAGCTAGACGGTAATAACAAATGTCCTTCACGAGGACAGCAACTTATTTTCGAGATAGGGAGCAAAATGAAAGAAAAACGTTGTTGATGACATCACAAGAGAACTACGGATTACTCTATACACTTGTGTTCAGAAAATGTCAAAAAAGGGAATCAATTTCACTATACAAAGTAAAGAATTACGACTGGAAATTTGTACAACTCGCATGCCGGAAGGTCAACTAGAAAATACTGGTTTTCTCCGGCAAAAAGTTAAAATTTGATGGCTTCAACGGATTTAATAATAATGGTAACGATTTTTGAAAGGACGAACGATGTTTGTTTCCCCTCCATGATCAAGAAGAGAGTATGGCGTTCTGAACCGCGATTTCGTAGTCTACAGCAGTTCAGATAATAGGCCTGTTCGAGGCACGAAATAAAATTACATCCGCACTGATAAAAATATGCAACACTGTTGCAACTGGTAAAATGATGCCCGATTGGTGATAGGAACTCGTGCAAGGTCAACATTTCAAGTTTCCACAATTACGAATAATCCATGCAAAAAAAGTGTTAAGGGCATTTTTTTTTAACATTTGTCGCATATTTTCGCACCTTTTTCTTAATTATGCTAGCAAAAATACGCACCGATTCGCATTACAGGAGCTGTAAAAACGAGGATAACGAAGCAAAGTCATAATTTTTTCAGCGTTCGTCCTATTCACAGGACCTAAACTTAATCGAAAATATTTAGAATGGGTTTTTTGCAAAGTTGGCGTCTCAGACAATGCAAGTGACGATTGGCAGTTATTACTTAACTTTTCAAAGCGCCTCTACAATTGTCTTCCGGATAGGGGTTTTTTCCATATATTGGAATTAAGGATGTAGTATCTAATACTAAAAGTGCTTTATAGTAGAATTAAAATGAATGGTACGCTTTTATTGGTTCAATGTAATCCTTTCCTTGTGTTAAAGCCACTGTGAATCAAAATAATAAGCATACATTTCGTGTAGTTTGATAAAACTTGGAATAAAGTCTTAAGTAATAGAGGTGTTTTCTTCATTTCCATCGCTTTTCTTTGAAATTGATCGTTCTTCCATATGAGGCCAAAAAGAAACTTCTCCGCTGCTCACAAGTCCACATATAAGCTTGGATCAAGATCCTCAAGAGGAAAGTATGTGTACCTATTCAAGTGCATATTTATTTGTTTGTTACGAGATACATTTTATATGAACATGTCTACATATGTATGACCATTTGCAAACTACTTCTAGTGATATATTTTTTTGAGAAAAGACACTTCTATAACCTCCCCGCAAAATATACTTTGAAAGCCAACAAATTAATTTTATTTGTTAAAGTTTGAAAACGAAAACTAGTTTATTTATGCTTGCTACTTGCACAAGAATTTACTCAGAAACCTAAAAGATATCCGAACGTTAGGGCATTAAAAATTGGAGCGTCCTAACGTATAATTACACAGAACTTGCGCTGAGCTAGCGTGAAAAGGGACGGTGCTGGTTCTTCATCTATCCCAACTCAATGCTTTTAACTGTCCTTTTTAACGATGTCCTATGAAGTGACAATTGTCGCCCTCTGCAGAACTTTTGAACTTGTTCTGAGCTGGCTCTGGCTTAGATGGTTCTGAGACAGTTCCTAGATAGTTCAAAAAGGGTCACCTCCGGGCTAGAAAAATGTGGTTGGTTTTGAGCTGCTTCTAAGAAGTATAGTATAGAGCATTTTCTTTAAATAAGTACGAATGCAATTTTGTAAATAAAAAATTCTTCATTTTATGTTTAAAGAGCTATTTATTTTGCACAAATTTACTTTTTGAGGCAAACTGTGCTTTAAAATTAGGAACATAAAGTGTCTGAAACCGGTATTCTAAAAAATAATTTTTATTTGTTAAGTATAATGGGTATTTCTGGGATACTTATAATTAAAAATCTAAACTAAATCGTGCCAAAAAATTAGAAAAACGGTGATATATTGAATGCTTACTTGTGATAACTCAGCGTTATATTGTATTAAATGTATTGAAATGTAATACATAGATCCGCCGGCATCTAATAAGAACATATAGAATTTTGAATATTCACAATGGTTTTCATGCTAAATATTTTTTCGGAAATTTTTTATTTAAGGATGGCCCATAAGTATTATAACATAAACAAATGAATTCACGTTTCTAACTGTGTTGGAAATTTAGTAGAATTCTAGAAACTGTTATAAAAACTTCAATATTTTAAATCAGAGTTTATAAGTATGCAATTCTATAGCCCATTAAATTTTAGTATAATTAATCGCGCCGATTTTGTAGAACTCTTTTTACGCACGCTCTTGCAGGTACTCTTTTATTTAAATATTTTCATTGAAGATGCAAGATTACACTTGACTACACTAAAATTTGATGGGCTACAAAACAGAATACTTGAAATTTTTATAAAAAAAATCTCTGATTAAAAAGTTTAAAATTTGAAGACAGTTTTTAGAGTTCTAGAGTTAGCAGCACAGTTAAGACTTTAAATTGATATGGTTTGTGGAGTATGACACATAGTACTTAAGTAAAAACGAAAAATATTTAAAATGAAAAACATTGGGAATAAAAAAAAAATCACTGCATAACTACACATTTCGGGTGCTCAGATATACAATATTTACGTATGTACAGTATCGTTCATATCAATAGCACCCCCATTTCAAAGTGACACTGTTTATCACTTTGGTTTATTTTTTTTTAATCTGATTAAAAGGTCAACAATTTTGATGAAAAAGCGTTAAATTTAACTTTGTTTTGTATAAAGTTTTAAGACACGGTTTATGTATATGATTTTGTTTTAAACATGATCATTTTTTTATAAAATAACTAGTAAGCCCGGGGAGACGTTGCCCTGCTACACACAGATACATAGGCAGGTTAACTGCATCGTAGATATTATGGGTCTTCACACCAAAGTTTGGTACTCGGTAACTCGATGTTCGGTAATTTTTGCCCATGTATTTTTTTGTGTAACGCTATTACCGGACACCGAATTACCGAATACCGAGCTCGGTGTGAAGAGCCATATTGTTTCTTACGATTCATTTTTGATATCGAAATTTACAAAATATTGTAATTATTGTTCTCTACGTTTGAAAAAAAAACGATCTCTGGTTACGGTTCAAACATCAGCCAGGGGAATGGATAACATTGGATGGTGTCCAAAAGGTAAATTTTTTGTTACTATTGATATGCGCATGTTTATATGTATAAACATGGGCGTAGCCAGGTAGGGGCAGGGGGGTGCTCGGAGACGATTACACCACAACTCCACCTCAGTCAAGTGTAATGCCTGCGAGGGGTGGAGTCACCTCAGAGTCTGCTCGGGACTACGGACACATAGACAGTGGACCACGTCGTACGTGGCCCCCTGTTGCTCAAACAGAGCAGCCTCCACGGCTAACCACAGTCCGCCCGAGCAGCCCCGCACACTCACACAGCAGCCTCACACAGTCACCACAACACAACAACATAATAACACCACAGACCGTACCACAGCCACTACAGACCACATAACACACACAACCGCACCACCACCCACACGCCGCCGCCAACAACTCCTGGTTCCCCCTACAATCTGCACGGTATGTCAGACCAGGATATTCCGTAATGTGACATCAGTCAAGTGCAACACCTGCCTTGGCTGGTGCCACTTTAGGGCATGCTCAGGTCTGCGTACCACGCGAGATTGGACTGGGAACTTCGAGGACCCGTGTTGCGCTGCTCGGTCGCAGACCCCAATTGCGACGCCCCCCACCACCACCACACGGCGGCAATCACCACAGCAGCACACACAGCCAACGGCGGCAAGAACATACACTTCACTTACACCCCACATCACGACACGTCTCCCGAACCACATGAAGCTCCTTCAATTTAACTGCAACGGGCTACAGAGCAAGATTGAGGAGATAACCGTCTTCATGTGTTGGCATGGTATATTGATAGCTGCGGTCCAAGAGACGAAGTTGCACAGCAATTCAACTTTGTTGAACTGCGCCGGGTACAACGTGCACCGTCGAGATCGCGAGCGAGATAATGGTGGTGGCTTAGCGTTCATCACGCACCACACCGTGCAGTATCGTCTTATCGAAGCAGACATCGACCGCAGGGATACCACCCTAGAATGTCAGGGCATCGCTATCCGGTCAGGCGATGTCGAGCTCGAAATATTTAACATATACATACCCCCTGTCACCTGCTGCCCGGCAGGATATCACCCTGATATAGGTGCGCTCCTCAGAGGTGAAAACCGTATGGTAGTAGGAGACTTTAATGCGCACCACGATCTTTGGCACTCAAGCCTGTCAAACGATCGTAGGGGAACAGACTTGGCTGAGCAGATAGACGATTCGACATTCTGCACAATGAACGACGACGCACCCACCAGGATTATGGGTAACTGCAGTAGCTCGCCAGACATCACAATAGTCAGCGCTGGTCTGATAAACAGCATAACGTGGCGACCTATGCTGACTCTAGCATCAGACCATCTACCCATAGTCATCTCGATTGATAAACCAACCGACTTTGCCTCCGCCAAACACCGGACCTATATCAACTTTTCTAAAGCTGATTGGAAAGGTTACGCGGAGTTTACCGAAAACACCTTCGCAGCGCTCCCCACACCAACCGACGTCCATCTCGGTGAACGTAAGTTCCGCAGGGCTATCACTGCTGCTGCAGCTCGCTTCATACCGGCAGGATGTATATCGGACCCACGTCCAAACTTCCCTGCCGAAGCGGCTGTTCTAGCCGATGAGCGTGATAGCCTTCGTCAGGCCGATCCCGGAGATCCCCGTATCAGGGATCTTAACGCGGAGATTCGGCAACTTGTAAACGTACATAAGCGGAAGAAGTGGGAGGAGCATCTGAAGACTTGTAATTTCACCTCTGGTGTGAGCAAGCTTTGGTCAACCGTGAGGTCATTGTCTAATCCGACGAAGCACGACGACAGCGTCGAAATTTCCTTCGGCGACCATGCCTCGTCGGACCCGGAGCGATGCGCGAGCTATTTTAGCCGGCAGTTCATACTGCATCCTCCGGTGGACAAAGCCAAGCGTCGAGTGACCAGAAGGCTGCACAAACTGCCAACAACTTGTGCCCCCCTTGCTTTCACTTGCGGTGAAGTTCAGGTGGCCATCGGGAAGGCGAAAGCCTCCAAAGCCATGGGTCCCGACGGAATATGCATGCTGATGCTGAAAAATTTGGGTCCTGCGGGGGTAGCGTACCTAACGGAGGTCCTCAACTTGTCAATGGCCACTCTCATCATCCCAGACATCTGGAAGGTGGGGAGAGTGGTCCCACTGCTCAAACCGGGGAAACCTGCCAACAAAGGAGATTCGTATCGTCCGATTACACTCCTTTCCCCGGTAGCGAAGACACTCGAGGCCTTGCTACTCCCGTACTTCACAAATCACCTGACCCCAGCGAAGCATCAGCATGGTTTCCGTAAAGTGCACAGTACAACAACAGTACTTAACGCCATAAACACTCAGATAACTCGTGGCCTTAACCGTAACCGTCCCTGAGAGAGAACGATTCTAGTAGCGTTGGACTTGTCAAAGGCGTTTGACACCGTCTGCCATTCCACGCTACTAGAAGATATAGAGGCCTCCTCTCTCCCACAGAGGCTCAAATGGTGGTCGGCAAATTATCTAAGTGGTCGACATTCGTCGGTAATGTTCAGAGACAAAACGAGTAAGCAGCGAAAAATAAAACAGGGGGTTCCTCAGGGTGGTGTCCTTTCCCCGCTACTGTTTAACTTTTATATTTCAAAGCTCCCTCAACCACCAGAGGGAGTCTCGATTGTCTCCTATGCCGACGATTGCTCGATTATGGCGACTGGGAATGGAATTGATGACCTGTGTTCGAAAGTAAACGGCTATCTCTCCGAACTTTCTCGCTTCTTCACTGCAAAGTGTCTAGCCCTCTCCCCTACGAAATCCTCCGCGACCCTGTTCACAACCTGGACGAAGGAGGTCAGGCTACCGCTGGGGATTCACGTCGATGACACACCAATTCCGACGGTGAATAACCCCAAAATACTCGGAGTAACATTCGACAGCCTACTCTCCTTCTCTGCGCACTCAACCGCTATTGTCAATAAAGTGCAGAGCCGCAACAAGGTCCTCAAGTCGCTAGCCGGCAGTACTTGGGGCAAAGACAAAGAAACGTTGCTGGCAACATACAAGGCAATAGGCAGGCCGGTTTTGAACTACGCAGCGCCAGTGTGGTCGCCAGGGACTAGTAGGACGCAGTGGACGAAGCTACAGACTGTACAGAACACCGCACTCAGGAC